CTGTGAAAATCAGGACATTCATGTGGAGAATGTACAGAATCACTTCTGAAATGAAATAAGTTCTAAATATGTTTTGGTTCATCTTCAAAACACACACAATGTTCTTAGTCTTATCTTTTTAACGATTTAATTAGTTAAAAATTCCCCTTGGTCATAAGCTTTCGCAGTACAATGATTTATTTTAAGAGGTTCCAAAAATTCTAAAGGTAAGTTTATGTAGACTGGATTCAGGAAAGGAGTAGACCCTAAGGAAAAGGAAACAGTGAAAATTACCTTGTTTAGGTCAGTATTTCTCAAACTTCAACAATGTTTTCTGCCATCAAATTGATACATTATCTTAGTATTAGCTTCATGTGTATAGTATTGTTAAAAGTATGGGTTTGATAAACAATTATATGTTTTCTTACATACAATATAGTATGTAAGAAATACAAAATTTTTTTAAAAGTAAAATGTTTTGTTCATGTACCTCTTAAAATTGCCTCAAACAACTGCAGCCTGGAGTACTGATTTAAGCTAATGATGACTGATTCCTCTGTCCCATCATTAATAAAAGTGATTCATTCGTTCAGAAAAAGATTGAGCCCTAACTTGCCATTGGTGGATGATACAAATGCTGGAATTGATAAAACAAGCCATCAATGTGTGTACATTTGTCATACTGGACAGTATTTATTTGCTTATGTGTGAGCCTGTCATTAGATTATGTGCTCTCAAAGGAGTGAGATAGCTGTAGTCATCTTTAAATCCCCACATGCCAAGATGTGAGTAAAATTTTTTGCATGGTGGGATTAATGAAAAGATGATAAAACCACGGATTAGGAAGATACTATCTATATTCACTTAGAGAAAGAAGAGTTCTAATCAATATATAAACAAAGAGCAAGGAAGATTGAGCAAGTACATTTGTCAAGAACAAGAAAGGCTTTGGAGAGAAGGTGACATGTGGTCTCAAAGAATGAATAGAGTTTCATCAGGTGGCTCACTGGGGAAGGAGCATCTCACCCCAGGGAACCCCAAGTACAATAGCCAATGCCTGGAGAAAGTGTGAGTGTGGTGTATGTGCTGGGGGCAGAGGGGGTGGGGCATGGGGTGGGAAATAATGGCATAAAGTAAAGATATTTTAAAAAAATTTATAGTGGGGACAAGGATTGGCAGATTGATAAAATAAATAAGGGCCATTTTTGAGGAATCTTATATTTCAAATTCTTGTATTCTTGTATTTTAAATTGGATCCAGTAAGCAACCAGGAGTGAATGGGCCAAACCTGTGCTTTGGAAAAGTGATTCTGTTGGCACAAAACTGAATGGTGGTGGGGAGGTGGGACGAGGGAGATGAGCAGCAGGGCAATTAGGAGCTGTGGCAAGCTACTGCAGTCAAGGAAAACGCCCCTCTGTCACCCCTCCTCTTCTCCGTATGTGCTCACGGGAGCAGGAGGCCTGCAACCTGCCCACCCTGGTTTAAATGTTCTCCCAAGTTAAAACTCATTCATTACACTCAAGTTTGAATCACTGTTCTACAGAAATTATGTAGATGTAGAATCAGCACCTATGTTTATCCAATAAAATAAATAACATCAGCTCTGGCCTGCTGGCAAAACTGGTTGGAGCATCTAACCAAAAAGGTTGGGGGTTTGAGTCCCTGTAAGGGTACATACGTGGGTTGCAGGTTCCGTCCCTAGTCCAGGCACATGTGGGAGACAACTGATTGATGTTTTTCTCTCACATTACTCCTCTCTCTCTCTCTCTCTCTCAAACCAATGAAACATATCCTCAGGTGAGGATTAAAAAAATAATGACTGTGGCAAATGTGATCTGGTGAACAAGAAATCCAAAGATAACCAAACAGAGGCAGGAAGCTAGTAATTCACCAAGTGTGTTGGGGAGCACAGGAGATTTGGTTGGAAAGTTATATGGAGGACATTCTGAGAAAAGGGAAGTATGTGGAAGGATGCCTGCCCTGTTTATCAGAATTCTGACTTAGGGGAGGCTTTGGGGAGTGTCGAAGGCGGCCCCCCTAATTATTCATTGACCTTTCCAAAGAAGTCTGTGCACATGCAGACCCCCGGGTGTTTACTGGAATCCTTATGCTTAATCCCTGGATGCCCTTGCTTAGAGGACAATGTACTAAACACATGTGTCCTCCCAAGATTACTCACCCTGCTGCTTGTATCTAAAGATAAAAATTCCAATAAAAATCCTAACAAGGCAGGCAATCAAGGCTGCTTGGTCACTTTGGCCAGGCCGTCCCTTAGCCTCTCTTTCACAGCAAACGTTGTGTCAGAGTAATCCATTCATCGGTCGTTCAGGGGCTGCTGGTCAGCCCCCGCACCAGTGCTGTTTTATTTAAGTTCTCCATTTACGTGGACGCAACTTCATGCTCACTCTTGAGCTGTGTGATCCCAGGTAAGTGGTTATTTAACCTCTGAGCCTCCGGGTTTCTCATCTGTAAAATGAAGACTTTAGGCTAGATAAACTATGAACCTCTCTCAACTGTAATATGATATTCCAGTTCTCTTACAACAGCTTTCCCAGACAACCCAGGTTCACATGCGTAAGGCCAGATACATGCTGGGGCCTCTTTTCCCTCCCTAAGCAGCTCTTCCATCTGCTGCCCCAACTGTCCTAAAGGCAGGGAGTAGCGTTAGCTTCGCTTTGTCTTGGTGGTCTTCCTTCAGTGCGAATGCTGACTGTGCATCCTAGTACAAGGCTGCGGGCTTGTGGTGTTTGAGGCCTCACCTTTACACAGAAGTTGAGGATCGGAGCACACACTGAGCTCTAAGGTAAGGGGCACCCCAAGGTTGGTGCCATCCTGAGCTGCGACTATTTCTGCAAGCGCGTCAGCGGGGAGAGAGCACAGGTTCGGAGTCCCAGCCCCAGTCTCTGCTCCACCCTTTGGCTGCTCTGCAAACTTAGGCAGGTACTTCAGTTTTTCTACTTATAACCTGGAAACAGTAATAGTACCTACCTTACAGGGTTGTTTCGAGGATAAAAGAACAGTTCCTGGCAGGTTGGAAGTGCCATATAAGTGTGGTACGTGAATAAACAGAATGCGATACAGTTCTATCAACCTGGGTTAAAACATGATAAACCGACCTTTATCATCCCCACGTGAGTCATGATCCCCGAGGCAACCCAGGCATGTGACTAAAGCTGTTGGGTTTAAGTTGAAAATGCCTGCTGGACAGATCAGCAAAATCCATTAGTGTTCATCAGCTCACTCCAACAGTGCTATTCCCTCTCTGCTTCACAGGGAATTTGTTTTGGCACTTTTCTTCAATGCTTGCAGTGCTCTGCACAAAAGTAAAAATGCAGTGACCTCAGTAATCTAAACATAATAGAAATATCAAGCATAGATTTGAATGAGGCATGCCCAGTGGTATTAGATTTGCAACACTGCCTGGAAAATGAGAACACACAGAAATTCAGACACTGTAGGAAGCATCTGCTGGGGAAGATCTTGCCTTTCCCCCCCACCCCCCCTGTTAGAAAGACTGGGAATCCCCACCTCACCCCATTAGTAACCTTTCAAAAAAAAAAAAAGAAGAAGAAGAAAGAAAGAACAGACCTTTGTAACCAAAGCATTTCTACTCTATGTTGATGTCAAAATCCAATGAACACAAAATCCCTGCGCACACACAGAGAATTAGCTAGAGAACTCTGCACAGCTGGAGGGGAGGATGAAAGGGCAGGAAGCCTCCGAAACCTGATAAACATATTACTCACTGCTAATGGGGCTCTTAAAACACAGTCAATACAGATTCATAACACGTTTAGGATGAGACTGTCACCTCAGGGCTAGCTGCACAAAAGAAGATTTAGATGTTTAGATATTCACTTAACAGGTCCACAAACCAGTTCCGGGTGCCAGCGAGACCCTCGCAGGGACACAGGAGGAGTGATAGAGTGATGGTGGATGGAGCTGGACAGGTGGCGTCCTCACCCCCCCGCCCCCCCGCACTCAGTGTGCAGAGAGCTTGACCTTTATCCTGCAAGCACTGTGGAGCCAGACACAGGGTACAAACAGCTGTGATATGATCATATTTGTGTTTTAGATAAGTCTGTGTGGAGAATGGATTTGACAGAAGCAAAAAAGGAACTACACCAAACTGACTATTACAATATTACAAAAGATGTCAGGATCTGAACTATGGAGGTAGTAAGTTAAATAAAAACAACTACACAGAATTGAGAAAAACTAGGGATAAGTTGGCATGGTGTAGAGATGAACTGAATGAGGGATAGCAGAAGCCAGGAAGATGACCCTGTACAGCTGGGCAAACCCAGGTGACACATCGTATCCCACCCAGGTTTGTGCACTGGCTTAGTTTGGTCAGTGCCACCACAAACAGGCCCAGCTATTTTCAGAACAGCTTCATCGCTCTGATAGAATTTGTTGGCACATCTCTCCATGCCAGCCACTCAGCATTGCATGTTCCAGGCAAAAGAAAAAAAAATCAACATTCTCCTAAGAATGTTGAATAACTTTTTTTCATGAAGTTAGGAATGGCTCTAGGCACATCACATAGCATTAGTTTTGTATTATATTCAGTTTGATGGATGACTGTGTGTCCAATTAGAAATAATTGTCGAGAAGTCTAATGGCCATTGATCAAAAAGACGCTGTATGTGTACGTTATAAAGAAAGGATGTGGCAGAAAAATTAGGATTCAACAAAAGATGTGGTACTCGGGTAGACGCTTTTACAATTCTAATATTGCTGTGCCTCGCTGTGTTCAATTCACCTTGGGTGCAATCTCTAGACTGCTGGGCAGACTTTTTGGTTTAACTCCAAATCGTAATGAAATATATCAGATGTTATGCCCATCACTAAGCACAGTGCTTGGCCCATATTAGTCCAGAAATATGTCGGATAAACGAATGAAAGGAAAGGCATCCGTGGACGGATTCAATCCCAGAGTCTGAAGCCTCACCCAGAAGGAAGCAAGAAGCTACGGAGGGAAGCGCAGCGTTCTGCACCTCCTCCTGGGATCCCAGCACCTCTCAGGCTGGCTTTGGGGCTTATGATCCGCCTGCACCTGAACCTTCCCACCTTATGACACTTACTGCAGAGTTAGAGCAATGGAGGACTCTCTGGATGAGAGACTGTAACCAGCAGGAACCCAAACCCTTGTTCAGGCATCGGCCACTAGGGGGCAAGAGAGCCAAAAGCCTGCTTCTGCATGTCTGTGAGGCCCGCTGTGGGGCGGCGCGGTGGCAGCTTCCATGCTTCCTATGTGGCATCCTCAGCATTTTTTTGTTTTGTTATTTACTTTAATTAACTAACTAATTAATTAAGTTACAGTTGACTTACAATATTATATTAATTTCAGGCGTACAACCTGTGATTACACATGTATTTACTGATAGTCCCCAATCTCAGTATGGCAGGGCAGTTCACCCCAGAGCAACTTGAAATATTGACTTTTGGGAATACTTTCCTTTTTAGCTAATAATCATTTAAAAACCCAAACAGAAAACAACCAGGACAATTTCCCCAGACTGACCAACCACGACTCCGTAAGAAGCTGTGAGGCCGGACCTGCTCCTTACAGCAGCCAGGTGTGCCCAGAGACCTAGGCTGCAAGCAGGAGAGTAGGTAACATGCAGGAAGCCCAGAAAAAGTTGAGTTTCAGATAAACAATGAGAAATTTTTTAATATAAGTCTGACCCAATTGGGGGGAAAGTTTGTTATTTTTATTTGCTAAGTCTGGCTGCCCTGCCTGCGTGGGTCACTTGCTCTTTCAGGATGCACCAGGTGACAATGGTCACTTCTCTGCCTTTGCTCATGCTACCTCCTCACCTGGACTGCTGTTCATCTACTCACTTCTCCACCTGTATCACACTTCTATTCAAGGTCTGGCTTGAATGTTATCTCCTGCTTCCTCTTCAGTGCCTGTGGGGCCATGTTTACCTGCATTCATCACGCCTGCTTAGCACTCCTGGTAAGTGTGATTGTTCCGTGGGATGGATGATTTGCAATGGGGGCCAGAGGGCGGGGACAGATTTGGATCACCTGGGAGGAGGGGTCGTTATACGGGTTCCATATGGGAGTCAGGACAAGGTTGAAACCACCACACTAGATTTCTAGCCACAGGGGGACTTGGGCCCTATTTATTCCAAATCTTTGTGTCCCTATGATTAGTACAGAGACTAGCTCCTAGCAGAAAGGCAACTCAGATTCATATTTTTTAAAATAGTCAGCTAAACTCTAGTTCTTTGTAAACAAAACAAAAAAATCCCCATGGTTCCCTTTCTGGCACGTTTTACCTTTTGGTCTCCCTCTCCTCCCTCACCCACTTCTTCACCTACTTCGTGAAGGAGAACACGCACTTGATGATATGCTATCAGATTTTTTGAGGTTCCTACTTTCCTGGGAGCATTTCACTCATCACCTTATTGGCTCTGCCACCCCCTGACCCCACCCTTCCCTCTGTTTTTACCGGTTTTCTGTAGGTGGATGCCGCAGAATAAAAACCCTTATCCCCCATTCCAACAGGGAATACCCAGAGGGCCCCAGGGCAGGGCAGGGTCACTGGCTGGATCCTGCACAAAGGCCTGTGTGCCCAGTGCCTTGGGAAAGGCAGCTCACGGGCCCAGAGCCATCACCCAAGGACAATTCGGGCTTCAGTTTAAATAAGGACAAATGTTCCTGGACCATCTGCCTCATGCTGTCCAGGCAGGACCCAGGGTAAGAAGAGATGGCATCCTGACCTGGTAATTGGAGGGAGTTTAATAAAGGGACCTTAGTGCTCCCATAGGGATGGGCGGGGTTCAGAACATGTCACAAGGGAGGCTGCAGGAGTCCTGGGTTTCTTGCTTTCCAGACACTGGGAGGAGCAAGAGGAGGGAGCACTCACTAGCCTGCTGAGGGAGTCCCTGGGAAGGGCTGCCTGGCCAGCAGCCTTGCCCAGAGGCACTCAGCCCACCCATAGTGACCCAGCAGGGAGGGTGGGGGAGGGGCCACCTCATTCTTCTTCATCTCTAGTTTTTGTTAATTGTTTGTTGAATGGAAATCAATAGCAAATGCACCCATTTTGGGGTAGAAGCACTCTTTTGTGAAGAATGAAGAGGGTGGCCGAAACCGGTTTGGCTCAGTGGATAGAATGGGGGGATGTGCAGGAGGCAGCTGGTCGATGTTTCTCTCTCATCGATGTTTCTAACTCTCTATCTCTATCTCTCTCCTTTCCTCTCTGTAAAAAATCAATAAAATATATTTTAAAAAAAAAAGAATGGAGAGGGTGTGATCCAGAAAGGCTCACTGACCATTCCCCACTTCCGCTCTGGGCTCCTGGACACCCAGTGTTTCCTGCCCTCTACCTGTTGTGGGGCGTTTCGTGAAATCTGAGAAAATGGTGTGAAGCACACAATGCAGAGGGCACTGAGGAGCAGGGAGGGAGAAGATGGCCGGAGAAAACAGGTGTATGAAATCAATAGAGCGTTCCTGTGAGGACCAGTGAGCACTACAGACCCTGGTTTGGGAGTTGAGCAGAGAGTGAAAATAAAGGCCAGGATGGGCAGGCAAGTTTCATAGAAGAGTTGGGAAGTTAGTTATAGTCTCCTTGGAGATGATTTTTAATAAAAACAAATAGTACTCCTTCCTTCAGAAGCTTTGTTGAGGGCTGCCTGTGCCTCAGGTCAACTACATTATGATGTGGGTTAAGCATGCAGTGTCCACAGTTTAATGATAATTGCTCTCAAGGAGCAATTACTTTGGCAGGAAAGCACATCTTGCTTTGATTTTCCAGAAGGAAGAGTTTTTCCCAACCCTCTGCCTCACCCCTTACCCTTTCCTAGAGGGGATCTGTATGCCCAGGGCAATTCCAATTCTCTCTCTCTCTCTCTCTCTCTCTCTCTCTCTCTCTCTCTCTCTCTCTCTCTC